CACAGGGTCTTGACCTCCTGACCGGGTCTGCACGGTCTGCATCAGATTCCCCCTTATTTATTGTTTGTTTAAGGGATGCTGCCTGTCTTAGGTGGTCAGTGGGAGTTTCCTCAGGAAATGGAAGTGGCATCACTGGCAGGCGCCACATTTCCCCTTGCTCAGTTCCACAATGGTGCCGCGTGTTTCCTTCCATCATGGCGCCAGTACAGGAGGCCCTGCTGAGAGCTAAGCCTCCTGCTCCGGCTCTCCTGCTCAGAGCAGGCCTCTTTGTCATGCCGGGGCTGCTCCCGATAAGGGGCATCTCCTGGAGCCACGCTGGTCCAACTCGGCCTGGAGTGGGCTGGCTGTGTCTTGGTGCATTCCCAGGTAATGTCGTGTGTGTCCTCTGGGGACAGGGTGCATCTTAGAAGGGCAGAGTCAGGGCTTCTGGGATGTCTGGGCTCGGCATCTCCCCTGAGTCCGGACAGCTGGCTCCAGCCCCTCCAGTCCCCGCTCCACGTGCTCTTGGTCTTCAGAGCAGGACTTGAGTGGAGCAGTGCTGGGCGTAAGCAGTGAGGTCCTGTTGGGAGCAGCCCAGCTTTGCGCATCACAGGCTTTTGAGACACGCGGGTCATGTGAGCTTTAGGAGTTGGAGGAGTATGCGAATTTAGAACCAGATAATCATGAATTCTGGAGGAAAACACTTAGTAAGAGGCACATTCAAGGAATTGTTTACACTGTAAGGCAGATCAGAGACAGCAAGGCCAATCCCAGTTCATCTGATGTAAAATGTGGAGTGAGTTTACAGTCTAAAGGCAGGGGATGAAGGGTTTGTAGAGACCTCACACCCAGTGTTTGTTCAGGATCTGAAGGGTCCACTGAGGCAGACTCTGTGGGGTTGGATGCCAGAGGTTGAGCCACCATTTCTGCAACAAGAAGCCCCACTGCTCCCTAGAAATCAGCCCGGATGAAGGGCTGAAGGTGGAGAATCTGCCACATTCTCTTTCCTCAACACTGTCTTCTCCCCTCCTTCTCCCATTTCAGGTCGGAGCCCACCACAGGGAGAAGGACTCCAGTCTAGGCAGCTGGGGAATGAGGGCTACCGTATCACACAGCCATGGACACAAAAGTAAGAATTTCAAAAGCTGTGACTGTCAGTTCACTGTGAACCAAACATTCATCTGCCTTCAGACTGCTTAATGTCTTATTTCAACCTACATCCCTGTGACATGTGTTTAGAGGAGACAATAAATTAGACAGTGAGAAATGAGCCAGGAAATGATAGTATCATAGAACTGAGTATTCCTTAGAAAAAGCAAATTTGGACAAAAAATGAACATTCATTGTGTATGATACTTTTCAAATGGTAGAAAATATAATTTTAACAGCACACTCCATGTTTTTAACAGAAAATATGTGCTCGAGACCTGCTGTGCAAATAAATACGATAAAGTGAAGAAATATGAAGAAGGTGATCAAAGTGCCTGCTCTGAGGCAAATCATCGGAGCCTCAAAGGAATTAACGGAACTGAGGTTGGAGTAAATGGTTTTGACTTTCATGAGGGTGGTAATTATACCTTTAATCATCCCATCAGATCTCACACTGAATGTAAACTATACCAATATAAAGAACATAGAGAAACGTGCTGTTTTCCCACTTACATAAAACATCATTCAAATACTGTTAATGGGGAAAAAGTTTGTAAATGTGAGAATTGTGGAAAACCCAAGGATAATTGCTATCCCTCACTTAGTACATGAGAACAACTTCCAGTGAAGAGAGGCCTTATGAATGTAAAGAATGTGAAAAAGCTATTAGTCTATACTTATCATTAACTCAGCTTACAAGTACTCATAGTGGAAAGAGACCTTATGAATGTAGGGAACATGAGAAAGCCTTTTGTCATGCCACAGCCCTCACTAAACATACAAGAATTCATAGTGTAGAGAAGCCTCTTGAATGTAAGGATTGTGGGAAATCCTTTAGTTATTCCTCACAGCTCACTGAACATAGAGGATCTCATAGTGGAGTAAAGCCATATGAATGTGACAAATGTGGGAAACCCTTTGATCTT